TAGTGTCAGAATTGAGTTGAATAGTGTTAACACCCAGCTGGTATAAAGAGAATTACATGGTGTTGTGTGGGAAAACACCCCCTCCACCCATTGGAAACGGAGTCTCAGAACACACATAACATGAATAGACATTTTTCCAAAGAAGACACACACACGGCCAACAGGTGCATGACAAAGTGTTCAGTATCACCAACCATCAGGGCACTGCAGACCAAAATAATGAGACATCACCTCCTTATCTGTTAGAATGGCTAGTATCAAAAAGACAAGAAATATCAGCTACTGGTGAGGATGTAGAGAAAAGGAACACTTGTGCCCAATTGGTGGGAACATACATTGGGGCAGCCACTGTGGAAAACAAGTCTGGGGGGTCCTCACTAAATTTAAAATAGAACTGTCATGTCATCCAGCAGCAGCACTTTCTGAACAAAATAAAAACACCGACTAAAAAAGAGAGAGGCACATTTACCCACCTAAAACCTTGCACATGAATTTCCACAGCTGTCTCATTCGTAAGAGCCAAAAGGCAGAAATGACCCAAATGCCCATGCACAGTAATGAGCTAACTGTAAGCTGCACGCAAGTCAACCTTGGGTTGGTTCTACTGAAATGCCAAGGCACACTGAGGCTAAGTTGGCAGAAGAAGAATGTCCGAGGAGAGTGGGGAAAGCTCTCCGCCACCACGAGCGTCTTGCTGCTCCTGAGCAAGCATTTCTTAGGTGGTAATAATGTGTACCAGTTACCCGGGGATCTTGTTAAAGTATAAATTCTAACTCAGCAGGTCTGAGTGGGACCCAAGCTCCTGCATTTCTTTTTTTTTTTTTAAAGATTTTATTTATTTATGTGACAGACAGAGATCACAAGTAGGCAGAGAGGCAGGCAGAGAGAGAGGAGGAAGCAGGCTCCCCACTGAGCAGAGAGCCCGATGTGGGGCTCGATCCCAGGAACCTGGGATCAAGATCTGAGCTGAAGGCAGAAGCTTTAATCCACTGAGCCACCCAGGCGCCCCAAGCTCCTGCATTTCTAACAGGCTTCCTGGTGATGCCTTGCTGCTGGGCCACGGGCCAGACCACTGAGTAAAAAGACAGCATCTCTGAAGCTCAGAGATGCTCAGTAACTGAACCCAGGGCCACCCCTCTCACCAGGCACAGAGGACTTGAAGTCCAGTCTAACTGACTCCAAAAACCCAGGCTCTTTCCACAGCAGCACCCATGACGTGGGTCCTGGATGCCATGTTCCGGGAGAAGCCCAGATCTGAGTGAAGGAAGAATCCAGGATAAAATGAGCTCTGGAGCCCACGTGATGGGAGGAACAGTGGAAGAATGAGAAATGTGTGACAGCCTCAGCAGTTGGTCCAAGCCTGGGGAGGAGTCATACCTAAAGGCTGGGATGGCCCCAGGGTGGGCACCAAGCCAGGGAGGAGACATACGGGCATATCAGTTTGGACTCCTTAAGAATGTTCTCCTAGAGCTGTCCCAGAATAAAACGAGCCATCCCAGACTAGAAGCCAGCGCTCCCCAGACACCACCTTCCTCATTCCAACAGAATCATACACCGACCCTATTAGCCCTACCACAAAGGAGGCATCATTAGCTGTGACAAAAATAAATCTTAGACAAATCTTTCAATTCTAGCCACGGGCTCTCAGCTGGGAGACCTATTTTCTTTTTTGCCTTTGTTTTTAAGATGAACAAGGGTTAGAGAAGCATCAAGCATGTTCGTGGGAAAGGAAAACTTTTTCCTTGATACATTTAGGATTGAACTGAAACTCAAAAGATCACCTATCCTTTTTCTCCTTCTGGAATTCAATCGCACCGAAAATCATCTTGGAAAATACTGAACCTAATGATTGAAACAGCCTTTTGATCATGAGTCTCCGGACCCCCGCATCCCTCCTCCAAAGCCGAACAGCCCTGGGTTCCGCAAACCTTGTTCAAATGGTCTTCAAGCCCTCTCATCACCTGGGTCTTCTCCATGGATAAGAGCCAATCTGTTTCCTGGGGGGCCTGACCAGCACCAAAGAGAACGGAGCTGTAATTGCACTGGGGGTTCATCCTTCCATCAATGCAGTCCCAGGTCATGTCTGATTTCCAGCAGCCCCCCCTTTAGTGCCAGGGCTCACTGTGCTTTCTGAGGATGAGAACTGCCATCAGTGCCTTTCTCTATGTAGAGACACAGCCTCCTTGATCATTGGTTGTTTGTGGAGGGACTGCATGACCTTCATCCAATGAGGCAGTCTGGGATCAGTAGAAGGAACAACCCTTTTACAGTTAGGGTTGTTCAAAAACAGACTAACCCGGCCTATCGTGGTACTGTCTTCCTACCCATAAGGTATGCAAGCAGAATTCACCAGAGAGGGAATTCAGCGGCCAACGTTTGGCCCGCAGTGGACAAGAAGGCCTCGCACACTAAAATCCCAGGCTTCTATCACACAACACCGTAAGATGGAGGAAAAGCAACCAGAGGCACGCCACGATGGAAGAATTCTGCTAGGGTCATGCCTGCTCTCTGCCCGGGGCCGGGGCGGGGGGAGGTCTGGATTATCACACATCACTTCATTCCCCCAAGCACCCTATAAGCAGGATGTCCCATTTTGCAAATGACAAAATTGGCTCGGACCAAATCACTCCTCTGGGTCCCCTGTCAGGTGGCAGAGCCAGGACACCAAGTTTGTTGTCTCTGACACCGCCGCCCAGGTTCATCTGATTCTAGTCTGCAAATCGCAGGAAATGAGAAAGGCAAAAGGCCATCGGCTGATGGGACTCTGGCATGCTAGGGTAAGCAGTTTTGATTTAATGCAGGAAATAGGAAAAAGACCACAGCTTTTTTTGATAAGGAGTCTTTTTTTTTTTTTTCATCTCTGTAAACAGTTGACATCAGTTAATAATTTAAAAATAGGAGGAATAACAAAACAAGGGGAAGATGTGAAAGAAAAGGCCCTTGAGAGATACAGAGGTAACTAAACAATGTGGGGGGTCCTCAGCAGCCTTGGTGACAGACCAGCCTCTGACCGAGAAACAGTCCAGACTGAACCCCACGGGGACGAAGGCACATGCTTCCCAAACCACCTTTCTGGAACATGCCTCCCCAGCTTCTTCAACGGGGGAGCTAGAGACTTATTACTTACATCCTAACAACAGCGGGTCATGAGCATTAACTGCTTGTCCCCCCGCCCAGGAATTCAGAACTCCAGGGTGGTTTTCCTTTGCTTGCGGGCTTGTCCCAAATGGCTGTGATGGCTTCAATCAACTTCTCCATAGTTAACGCATGCACAGACAGGGCTTATCAAACAGCGCGAGATCCATCTAACCGCACGCACACACACACACACACACACACACACACACACCCGGTCTTTCCAGACACAACCCTTCCAACAGAATTACAAAGGAACCAAGGACCATAGGACCAATGGTCACCCTTGAGCCCAGGAGGGAAATGGCAAACAGGTCAAAGCTGGGAAGAGGGTCTAGGGATACCATCGGCTGCTTTGAGTCCGTTTGCTTCAAGCTATAGGAAGTGCATTTATGCAATCGTGCTGGCTTCTCAATACTAGATTGAAGAGCATGAGGTATGGATTACACCTGTACGGTTTTTGGAACTCGTGCAAAATTTCAGCGAGCGCCATAGAGACCCAGCCAGTGGGAAGACATTAGAAAACGTTGTTTCAGGCACTATGATATATAAGGAAAGGTCCGGAGTGAGATTGCTCGGAGCTTATGAATATTTATTATAATGCATTCTTGAAAACAACCAAAATATTAAGTACAGTATAAATAGAAAACAGATTTAGGAGTCAGTCATAGGTTTACATTATGCAAATGATCGTTAAAGACCTACAACCAGGATGTTGTTAAATGCTGGAAAAAAGGGGGGGGGGCTGCTGCTATTTGGACATTTTCTTAGAATCGACAAATGATATTTTGAGTTTTTTGACAATCTGTTTGCCGAGGAGTGCCTGTGGGCACATCTTGTCACTTTCGCTAACCTGGTGGGGGAGTCCCAAATTCAGAGCAAAGGCGCAGGCCTGGGGTTTTCACAGCCCCCCTTGTTCATGGCAGGCAAGGCTTTGGGGGACAGAAGGGGTCCTGAACCTCAACCCAAAAGCTCTCACACACAGCTCAGCCAACCCTCAGCCTCGGAGCAATGAAGAGGCTTTGCCAACATTCAAAAACTCCCAGACAGCTAGCTGAGCGCATTTGCCCACAGCCAACAGCCCCAGCTCCCTGCCTCATACCCAACTCAGCACTCACTCCAAGGAGCTGAAACCAGTCACCAATGGTCTCTTCATGATGCAGAGGGAGAATAAATGAGTTATAGATTCCATAAACTTCCCCACCAGAAATACAACCCCACCCGACCATCACCTGGCAAAAATTCCCTCCCAGGCCCCGGCTGCATGGCCCCAGGCAACTCACTAGACCATCAGATGCCTCCCAAGGCCCAGGGCAGTGAGACAGGCGCACAAACGGGCGCCACCCTGTGCATGCACCCCTGCATGTTACTAAGGAGACCAGCAAGGGCTCCCCTCCAAAGCAGCTCGGAATATAGTCATCGTGGCTGAGAGGGAGTCCAGTGTCAATACAAAAATCCACATGAGCGTCAGTAAACACGAATAATGCGCCAGCTGTCAGCGGTCTAAACGCCGAGAACCCAGCCCTCGGGCTTTGATACTCCTCTAGGTCCAGCCTCGGAGTCCAGCCCTTATTTCCGACATAGTTCCTCCCGTCAGTTGTAAACGATAAAATCAGAATCCCCGTGTTTGGTTTTGTTTTTTTAAGATTTTATTTATTTATTTGATAGGCAGAGATCACAAGTAGGCAGAGAGGCAGGCAGAGAGAGAGGAGGAAGCAGACTCCCTGCTGAGCAGAGAGCCCGATGCGGGACTCGATCCTAGTACCCTGAGATCATGACCTGAGCTGAAGGCAAAGGCTTTAACCCACTGAGCCCCCCGGGCGCCCCAGAAACCCCGTGTTTTAAATCCATTAGTAACTACCAACCTGTCTTCGTGTCCTGGGGATTAACCAAGACTAATATTTTATGTTGAGGTTCGTCACGGTGCACAGTGCAAAAGCAAACAGACGAGGCTTCAAGTTTAACCTGAAAAAAAAATAACAAAATCGCCATTTTGTTCTGTCATCAAAGTAAGGGCACGGGAAATTACTTACCAATTAATTAGCACCGTATTCACTGAAAGAACACTGCTGCACAGAGGTTAATTTGACAGGATGGAAGCAAGGTAAAAATGGAAACCTTACCCACTCTGAGCTAAACACAAGTGGGATGTGACAAAGGCCCTTCCTCCGTCTCCCACCAGCCAGCCCTCCCCATGCCTCATGTACCTGTCCATCCATCCCAGCACTGATTAAACACCCACTCAGCGGATACCCTCCAGCATCTCCCTTCCAAATGCTTTGGGCCCCAATGCCTTCCCCACCCTGGTCCCCTTCCGGCCTCAGCCCACAAAAGCTGGTGACCACACCCCCACCTCAGGCTTCTACCTGCCATGCCAGCCTCAACGTTCCTCCTGGGGCCACTCCACAGAAACAGCCCGAACAAGCCTGTGTCCACCCCCGCTGCCTCTCAGGCTGCCGGCTGCACAGCCTCGGATCCCGGCAAGGAGTCTCAGCAAACCCTTACCCCTTCCGGGCCCTGCAGGCTCGGCTCTGACTTTGAGGCACTCCAAGGGCAGAGAAACTCTGCTGTGAGAGACAGAGAACAGTGCTGGTGCCTGTTTGCTTATGAGCAAGGGCAACACCAAGCAGCGTCTGGGGGCCTCCAACACTGGGACCCTCCCACCCAGAGCCTTCTCGCAAGGGCTGGTAGCCTCTCTGTGGCCATCAGACGTAATTCCCAGCTCCAAAGCAAAAGGTCAACACGTTCAATTGCCAAGTCTGTTTGGAAAACGGAGGAGAGCAGAAGAAAATGAAAAGAGGATGTGTCGTCTAAGCTAGGCGGGCAGGTCGCCTGTATAAGTTTATAGCAGGCCTCCGTGGTTTGAGAGAAACGTTTCCTGACAAATTCTGAGAGCCGCAAACATCTGGGTGGCTCCCTGTCTTCAAGTCCCCTGCGGAGAGCGTCCCCGAGCCGGCTGTCTCACGAGGGGGCTATTAGAGGCCATTAAAAATACGCACAGGGGTGCCCGGCTGGCTCAGCGGTGGGGGGAGCATGGAACACTTAATCTCAGGGTTGTGAGTTCGAGCCGTATGTTGGGTACAGAGATTCCTAAAAAATAAAATCCTTTAAAAAAATGTACAAAGCATTATATCGACATGGAAATTTATTTCCATTATATTGACATGGTATTTATTACACCTGGGAGTGTATTCTGAGAGTGACCTAAATGTTTAAAAAGTATATGCAGAAATAAAAGTCAAATGGAAACATATCAAAATGTTCACAGCATCAACTGTGATGCTTTTTTCATTTTCTCTGTCTCTGGAGATAGTTCCCAAATATTATACAAGGAGCATACACCGGCTTATTACCAGAAAAATCAGTAAGTATTACTGTATTGTATTTTTTTTATTGTATTTTTAAATGTGATAGGGCAGTTTCAAGACTGGAAACAGTTAACTGGGACTTTCCGGAGAACCAGAGCAATGTGGCATGATGTATCCTCAAATCATTTTCTCATCTTTCTCTCCGTTTGGAAAAATTTCTCTGGACTCCAAAAGAAAAACTAAATTTGCTAAAAGCCATGAGGAAGTCTGATACCACCCCAAATGAGACTATTTCAACTGCTAAGTGATAGGGAATGCCTACTATTTCTTAAGTAACTGTTAAAATGGTAGGAAAACAACTGAAAAATCTTCTCATGAAAATTTATTTTCCTCTAAAGGGGGGAGAAGCAGATAGCTATAAAGTCCTTTCAGCATTTCTATCACATAAAAACAACTTAATTTTAAGAGCTGTCTTATTTTATTATGTTTTTGCTAATCACACTAAAATTATTCACTCGCTGCACAGACTCACATAATAGGTTTATGTAATGCAGTCTCGTAAGTAAGGGTGAAATGAAAGCTGAGGACTGAAACTGCTTTGTAGAGCCTTCCAGAGCTAGCTTTCAGATTTCACCCGCTTCTCAGGTTGCCCTCCCCACACTCCAGCCCACCCTGCAGCCCACAGCCAGTGTCTCCCCAGAGAATTAGCAACCCTAACCCCAATGGAGAGCGGGCTTCCGTTTTCGGCTTCACTGCCACTAGGGGGCGCTGAAAGCGTGCGCGTGCAGGGACCTCGGTCCGCAGCTCAGCACTGTAGAATCAATCCGGGGATTCTCGTAGCACTTGATCTTGAACTAGCATGATCTCCAAGATCTCAAGAAAGCCACAACTGTGTAAGCTGCGCAAGCCACTGTTCTAATGAACTCTGGAACAGCTTCAGTACAGTGAACTAAAACTCGGCAGTACTGGATACAAGCCAACGGTATCAGTAGGTACGAGCAAAGTCTACGTATAACCAAGAAAATCTCGTCTCTTGGAACAGATCGGACTTAACTCTGAAAGAAGTGTTACAGACTGAGGTACAGCCCAAGATTCACATTTCTTTTCTTTTCTTTTCTTTTCTTTTTTTACTTACTGCATGGGAAAAAATTTTATTCACAGTAACACAATTTAAAAGTTTTACCCACAGTCCCTCCATCCTAACGAACAAAAGGTTTTCATTTCTCTCTGTTCTCTCCCAGCCCTAATCCAAAAGGCTATCTTATCAGTGCCTAAAATCATATGGATATAACTAAATTTTAAATATAACTATTTTAAATAGTTTGAAATTTTAAATATATCTAAATTTTAAAGCTGAGCCAGACCACAGAGACCAAAGAGCAACCAAGCCCCTCATTTGACACATGGGGAAACTGAGGCCCAACCAGGCCTTATGTAAACACAGTCTCAATTAGTTCTCCTTAAGGACAATTCAAGGTAAGTTCCAGCAGGAGAAGGGGTTGGTTTTTTTGCTTGTTTGTTTGCTTTTTTTTGTTTGTTTGTTTTCCAAATAGGCTCCACGCCCAATGTGGGGCTTGAACACAGGACCCTGAGATCAAGAGTCTGATGCTCTACTGAAGAAGCCACCCAGGCACCCCAGTAAGCTCTGTTATTGTCCCAATTTTTTTTTAAAGATTTTATTTATTTATTTGACAGAGAGAGACACTGCAAGAGAGGGAACACAAGCAAGGGGAGTGGGAGAGGGAGAAGCGGGCTTCCCGCCGAGCAGGGAGCCTGATGCAGGGCTCGATCCCAGGACCCTGGCATCATGACCTGAGCTGAAGGCAGATGCTTAACTGACTGATCAGCCAGGAGGTCCCCTTTCTTTTTAAAGATTTTTATTGTCCCAATTTTAGATATGAGAACATCAAAACCAGAAAAGTTAAGACACTTGCTCAAGGTCACACAGCTAGTAAGCAGTAGGTGTGGGATGCACAGCAGGCATATCCTGCACAGCAGGATAACCGGACTCATCCTCAAGACTCCAGAATCCCATTCTAGAATTCCTCTGCTTCTCAAAGTGGAATTATTCTAGTATTCACTCCAGAAGTTGTTGTTGTTTTTAAATCTATAATACTCTCTCTAGTACTAACATGCTACTCTCTAGTAAGTTAGATTTTACAATCACACGTACCTGCTCCCCCGTGGGAAGACAGAAAAGCTCTTTTGAGGGCTGCATCCCTTCCTTAAGCATGGCGTAGTAAGCCAGGGCTGCTTCCAGATGCCTTTCAGGGTCATCTTCCAAAATATCCACGGGGTAAACACCTTCCAGGAGAAAAAAGACAGTAAGAAATGACATTAGTTTTATTCTTTTGTTAAAGGGGAGGTCCCTTATTTCTTGAAGATTTTGTTTTTTGTAAGCAAACAAGTAACATTTGCCATAAAAATTATGTTCCCATATTTTTTTAAATTTTTTTTAAAGATTTTAATTATTTATTTGGGAAAGAGAGAGACAGTGAGTGAGAGACGAGCCCGGGGAGTGGGGGTAGAGAGAGAGGGAGAAGCAGACTCCCCTGCCGAGCAGGTAGCCCCATGTGGGGTCTCCATCCCTGGTCTCTGGGATCATGACTTGAGCCGAAGGCAGACACTTAACCAAATGAGCTACCCAGCTACCCCGTTTCGTTAATTTTTCTTTTAATGAAAAAATAGTTCCATATCAGGTGCTAAAAGAAAATAGAAGACATTCCCAATGGCGGGGTTGGCAGGGACACGGGGGAGATAGGAAATTCTACCTGGGGGAGTCTGGGTGGCTCAGTCCTTAAGCAGCTGCCTTCGGCTCAGGTCATGATCCCAGGGTCCTGGGATCAAGCCCCCATCAGGCTCCCTGTTTGGCGGGAAGCCTGCTTCTCCCTCTCCCACTCCCCTTGCTTGTGTTCCTTTTCTCGCTGGGTCTCTCTCTGTCAAACAAATAAATAAAACCTTAAAAATAAAAAAAAAAAAAAAAAAGGAAGCTGCACCTGACCTCCGCCTTAGAATGCTACAGAAACTTCCTTGCATACACCCAAACCACCAAATTGTTTCCCAAGGAGGGAAGCCACAGCAGCCACAGGACAAGCAGGAACATGGAGAGCCCACACTAGCTGGTGAGAACCTTGATAATGGACAAAATTGAGCTCGAGTTACTATTTTGCCGGCCTCCGTATTCGCTGAGCGGTTGATGAGATTTGCCAGCCCGTCTCCTTGCGCTCGGCCACTGTTACGTAGAGAGTTGAAATGTACAAGTTGGTGGGAACTGCAAACGTGTCCATACACAAGGAGACTCCTGCATACATTCCTGTGCAAGTTTCCCACAGGATCCTCCTCAGCATCTCTTTCTTGTCCTCACACTTTCGAGGAAACTTATACCCTTGAAGAATTATCCAAATTGATAGCATCCAATTCAGCTCGGAAGCAGTGGTCAGTTTTCCCGGGATGCTGGCCAGCCTCGGCTGGTCATGTCCCCAAGTGGGAGGGGGCTCTGCAATCCCCTCCCCTCTGTGAATCCTGGATTCGGCTCTGAGCATCCTATGTGGAGGGGAGGATGTCCAGAGCACCTGTGGACCAGACCACCACCTATGCGGAAGCCCACCTCCTGCCCTGGGCTTGACATGCTGAACGTGTCCTGGGCACACGCAAAGAGTGGCAAATACGTTCTCCCACTATTCAATTTTTTTAAAATATTTGAGGAGAACATGGGTCCCAAGAAATTACAACTGTAAATGCACGGATACAAATGTTTCAAATAAAGACAAAGAATTAACAGTCCTCTTGGTGACAATGAGTAAGTCAGTGAGGAACTCTGGGATCTCACCCTCTCTAAAAAGGGCTGTACCCCCCAGCCAACCTATTCTGCTGTGAAAGGCACATGCTTGTGGACACACATATACGTGCAAAAAGCCAAGGAGCCCAGACTCCCCACCATGAGCCCCAAAGCCCCCCGCAACTGACAAGACAGAGCGCTGGGGCTGAACCTGTAGGCGCCCCTACTCCTTACTGGGCCTTTCAAGCCTAGAGCCCAGGAGCCGGATGGATCCAGGCTGGAATCCCGGCTTCACCCCCATTTACAGACGAAGAAACCGAGGCCAAGAGGAGAATGCTTGGCTAGTCAGCAGCAGGTCTGACTGTGCTCAGGATCTGCACAAAACACTCAGATTACGTTAGTGACCCAGCCCAGAAGGCCCTTTAGAATTCCACACCCCCGCCAAGAGCACCCAACAGGTTCCTAGGCCCCCGTTCCCCACTCCTTCTAACTTGACATCCTTAAGGCCCATCTCAGACACCAGCACGCCCAGAAGCCTTCCTGGAACCCCAAACAGCAAAAGCCCAGGGGGGCCCTGAGTCCTATGTTCCAATCCCAGCTCAGCTTAGGATGGGAATGAATCCACCTTTGTCGCCTCCCTGGTCCCTCAGGACACCACACACATACACACACACACACACACACACACACACACAGGAACTCGGTGGGCAAGACAGAGTGCGTAGCCTCTCCTGACCTGGGAACACAGAGCACTCCTTGGAGCACCCTGTGTGCACCCCTCTCCTCTCCCGCCCTGCACAAAGACACCCCCATCCCCCAAGGCCTTTCTCACACTGAGCACTTGGGAAATTCGGGTAGGCAGTCGGCTGCGCTCTTCCTTCAAACTGCTGGCCATCCTTCTAGAAAGTCAGGTGGCTTCCCACAGGGATGAAAAAAGACTGTGCACATTGAAATAAATCAAGAAGATCAAACAGGACAGAGGGTTGTTTCGACCCTGAAGTAGCCATCTCAGGCGGCACGTTGCCCCATGAAAGCAGCTTGAACAACCACATTTCCCTATAACTGCCCCCAGGAGGGAGTAAAGATCCGCCTCCCTCCACCTCCCTGCTGCCTGGGGCTTCTCAGGAGAGACGCTTATCAGCCCCAGGCCTCGAGAGCTCTCCAATGAGGTCTGAGGCTCCCAGGACAGTGGCATCCCCCAACTACACTGAGAAGCCCAACTGGGCCCCTTGGGTCAGGGGTCAGGGAGGACACTGTGGTCTTCCGGGCTTTGGGAGAGGGGCGCCTCACCATGGCCACAAGGCGCAGAAGCCTGGGTGCTCCCGGGAGGGCCTGGGGAGCCTCCTGCCTCACTCCCTCACAGGCTGTCAAGGGTTACCTGGCCTCAGTTCTGGTCGCCTGTGGTCAGGAGAAATGCAATGAATGTGTTTTGCTCCTCACACACCATGAAATCATTTCCCCTGCTGGTTCTGCCGGCTGACGCTGTGAGACCCCCCTCAGAGAACTCCGTGGGCAGTAACCCCAGGCCACCCTTGGCTCTCCTTGTTGGGGGGAATGTTGGGGGGGGGAAGCTCACAAGAAGAATCAGGCCTGCCTCTGTGGAGCAGGGCCCTGAAAGGCAGAGATTAACCCTCTGGGAAGTGGAGGGCAGCTGCAAACACCTCAACACTCACAGAAGAACCCGGCAGCCATGCTCTGTTCCCGCCTTTAAATCCTCCAAGCTGAGCACAGACCCCAAACTCCTAAGAAGTGTCCTGGGGCGGGCAAACCAGCCTAGGGGAGGGAAGCTCAATTTTCAGCCCTTTGGGTTTTAATTAGTTCTCCTCTGTCTGGGTGTGGGGGGTGTAGGGGTGGAGATGGGCAGGGAAATCCCCCATTAGAAAAGCTCCAGCAGCTGAGCTCTGACACACAAAATGTTTGGGTTTGTTTTCTGGAAATCTGGGTGGGAATGAAAAAAGGAGATGCTTACAGCAGGAGGGGAAGCATTCAGTGCTCAATGGGAAAGGGAACCCCTGCCCTTCTGGAGGAAGAAAGACCCCTCCCCAAATCGGTGGGAAGACAGACTCCCTCGCCAGCCCAGGAGGCATACACACACACACACACACACACACACACACACACACACACATGACCCCCAGAGGAAGGAAGCCTCCCACCCACCCAAACCGCAAGGGCACACTTGGGCAGTGCCCAGGGGCCTCCAGGAAGTAAACAAGTCTGGGGTGTTTCACACATGCGCCCTGGAGCCAAGCTGGGCGGCCACGGCTGACTCTGGGCAGGGGCTTCCAGATGTGAAATGCTAACAGGCTTTAATGGCTTGAACTGAACAGGAAATATTTTTCCAAAGCCAAAAAATGTAATCTTTTCAGTACAACGTAAAATGCTTTTATGAAAAAGGCACACAGTTGAAATGATAATTCATTGCAGACCATAAAGAAAATGAAATCCCCAAACGAGCCCCCAATTTAAGAATTCACTTTAAGCATATGTTTGCTGTAGTCACCAGAACAACAACAAAGTGGAACCTCTTAAAGCATACTTCTGGGGAAAATACTTGAATCTTTCAGGATCTTTGTCCCAAAGCTCCAGTTCCCAGGGCGGGATGAATGCTGTCCCACTGAGCCACTACCTGTCACCCACTGCCCATCAGCCACAGCCACTACTGGGTCAACACTGCTGTTCAGGCCAGCAAAGCCTAATGCTCTAGGGCATTCCCAGCACTTTTGGGTCCTCGTGATATAAACAGCAATGCCAATTAATGAAAAACCTGAAAGAGGTCAATGCTCTGCACTTAACCATTTATTCAGTATCACTTGAAGAATATTCTTCCAAGTACTACCTCACCACAATGATGAGAAAAGTTCTTTCATTTTAGCAAAGTGAGATTTTTCTCATATGGGACTATTATTATGAGAAACATTAACAGATATTTTAAGTTTTACTAGCCCTGCTCTTGAGAATTTTGACCTCCGTGAAAGCCTCTATCCATCCATCATTTAACTATAAGGCATTATGTCACTGGAAAAGCTGACTGTAATCACTTGATTTTTTTGTAGTCATGTGGGTTGTCATTCTTGAATTAAAGTTAAGAACAACTCTTGCTCATAACATGTGAAAAAAATTTCAGGGACACAAAATTATAAGGTAGTAATCTACTTTTATTTTTCAAAAATGGTTTAAGTGTGGATATTCCTGATACAGAATTTTTTTTTTTGCCTTTCTTTATTTTTCTCACCAGTGTCCTGCTTTTCCCTCACAAATCAATTTTCTTCTGAAAAGAACTTATAAGAAGGAATCTTTATTATAGAAGAAATTGCCAATGGGGATTAAACGACTAATTTGGGACTTAGCAGGAAATATGGAGACTAGTTTGTAACAGAGAGAGGAGGGCACCAAGAGATCCCAAGGCATGTTGCAAGAAGGGACTGTGGAGTTCTGAATGCAGGTGTTCTGCACACCCAAGGCTGTGAGGGCAGCACCTAAGGGAGAAGAGGTTCCCCAGTGCTGCCTCAGGAGCTCAGAATTC